CGAGGGTGGCCGCATGAGCGGGGCGAGCGGGCCCGCCGCGGAGGACGGGCGGCGCGCCGAGAGGGGGGGGGGGACGGAAGCGGTCGGGGGCAAGGATTGGTCGGGGGCAGCGATGGCGGGGGATAGGCATTCAGAGCCCCGAATCATCAGGGGTAACTCGGGTCAGGGTTAACTCGGGTTTTCGGGAATCCGAACCCGAGTTACCCTGGGCCCGAGTTACCCCGGATAATTCGGGCGTCCAGAGCCCCACATCATCAGGGGTAACTCGGGTCAGGGCTAACTCGGGTTCCTTTTACGGGAATCCAAACCCGAGTTACCCCGGATAACTCGGGCGCCCAAGGCATAGGGGGGGATGCAGCGACTCCCAATCGCCCATTGATCGCCGATGGGGGCCCGACAGCCCCAACCTGCCCGGGAGGGTGCGGAGTCACTGTCGGGGGCCTATCCTTTCGCGGATCTATCGGCGATGTATGGCCGATGCCAAGACGATGCTTCCCCCCCTATCCCTATCCCTCCCAATCGTTGTTCCTCAAGAGGGGGGGACAGGCATAGGTCAGCCACGCGCAGAGGGGGGTGGGGGGAGGGGGGAGGGCTTCTTAGAAGCACCCTTGCTTCTTAGAAGGCGCGGGCCTTAGCTACAGATGTAAGGTCGGTGCCTTCTAAGAAGCAGCCTCCTTCTAGGAAGCCCTCCCACCTCTCTCCACCCCCTCGTGCGCGCCGCCAAATAGTGGGGAACGCAGCGACCCCAAATCGCCGAGAGGGGGGACGGAAGCGGTCGGGGGCAACGATTGGGGGGACAGGCGTAGGGTTAAGTCGGGCATGTCCCTCTACAGGAGGAATCACCAGATGACATCACACCAGAGAAACCCCAATCAGTGGATGGCTTGATCGATAAGGAGATCGACTGGGAACCTGGGAACCGGGAACCCACCGAAATCGGCCAGGAACCAGGAACCTGGAACCGGGAACCCAGGAACCCAGGAACCCAGCCGGCCTCGAAAATCGGCCGGACACTTTCGCCAAATCTTTCAATTTCCGCTAGGACCCCTTCAGTGCAAGCACTAATCTGGGAAAGTAATAGAAAATAGTCTGGGGACGATTTTTCTATTATTATTTGCCATCTTGGAGTATTCGCTTTCCTCCAAAATCCGCCTGTAGGGGGACATGTCCGACCTAAGCATAGAGGGGTGGATGCAGCGACCCCCAATCGCCCACTGATCGCCGATAAGGGCCCGATAGCCCCGACCTGCTCGGGAGGGTGCGGCCCATCCTTTCGCCGATCTATCGGCGATGTATGGTCGATTCCAGGTCGATGTCTCCCCCCCCATGCCAGTCCCCCCCTGAATCTTTGCCCCCCTCTACAGGAGGAATATTCGAAAATATAGTTTGAAATAGTCAGGGGGCGACTTTTTGAGTATTCTTGATCCTTTTTTGATTATGTTGGGATGTTTTAAAAACTTTCGTCCAGACTCCGGCTGCAGGGGGACACGCCCGACCTGACTCTAGTGTCGCATGTTGCTATAGAGGTGCCCCCCGGCCCCAAGGTGCCCCCAGGATTTCCAAGGTCGATGCTGCGCCCCCATGCCTATCCCCCCCTATCGCTGCCCCTCAAGCGGAGCGAGAGAAGCCCTCGCGCTGTAAAGTGAAGTCGGGCCTGTCCACAGGAGGAATGTTCACAAAGTGGTCAAAACATAGTCTGGGGACGATTTCTCGAATCTGTTTGACTATTTCTGATTCTTTTTTGTTATGTTTCGTCCAAGATCCGCCTCTAGGGGGACATGCCCGACGTAATTGCACATAGAAATCACGGCGGCAAGAGTTTCGCTATGTTCGGCCTCTGGGGGCCCCTATCGGGCCTCGGGGACCGTCACGAAACGATTCGTGATGAAAGACTGGTCCCGGGGAATGGCTCCAGACCTCTGGGGGTCGACGTCATGTGCAAAGGTCACGACGTCGGATGTCTGGGTCTGGGGACTCCTGGCATCGCCATGAGAAGGACACGGCCGGTCCCGAGCGAAGCGGGTCTTGAGGGGTGTCTTTCGCCGTTTTGTTACCGGTGCCCCAGGGCCCGCCACGGGCCCTGGGAGACTGCCAGGGAGCGAGGCAGGGCGAAGAACAGGTCCCGGGGGAAGGCCCCGAGGTCCAGTGCGTGTTTGTGTGTGTGCGCGTGTGTGTCTGTGTCTGTGTCCGTGTCCGTGTCCGTGTCTGTGTCTGTGTCTGTGTCTATGTTTGTATCTGTGTCTGTGTCTGTGTCTGTGTCCGTGTCTGTTTGTGTATGGATTGTTTGTGCGTGTGTGTGTGTGTGTGTGTGTGTGTGTGTGTGTGTGTGTGCTGGCGTGTGCCTGTGTGTGGGTGGCGCGCGGGGGCGGCGCTGGCGCTTGGCAGGCCATCCGGGAGGAGGACTGCGCGGGCGTCGCCGCCTTGCAGGCCCAGGTGGCCCGTCTCACCGACGCGCTGGCGCAGGCGCAGAAGGAGGTCCACACGCTCAGTCTCGCGAACGCCCAGCTGTCCGAGGACAGGCGGACCATCGGCGAGCGGCAGCGCGTCGTGGAGTCCGACCGGGTGGAGCTGCAGCTGCAGCTCGTGCAGGCCAGGGCGGCCGCGGAGCAGAGCGAGAGAGAGCGCAGCAGGCTGCAGGAGGCCGAGGACTCGGCGGGCAGGGCCGGCAGGTTGGGTGCCATTGTCGCGTCCGAGGGGGAGGCTCGAAGTAGAGAAAACGCGATAAGCATAAACTTTTGGCGCTCCGCGCGGATTTCTTTGATCCGCGCCTGGGCCCCTCTGGCGGCGCCTCCGGCGCCGCCCCTGGGCGCGCTCCGCGCGCCGGGGAGGGGGATTCGGAGCGGATCCAAGATATCCGCGCGGAGCGCCAAACGTTTCTGTTCATGCCGTCTTCTCTTCAAGAGGCGCAGCTGCGGGCGTCCGAGCGCGCGAGGGAGGCCGCGGAGGCCGCCGCGGCGGCGCTGAGGCGGGAGCTCCAGGCCGTGGAGGGCCGCGCAGCGGAGGCCGAGCGCCGGGCGGCGGAGGCGGAGAGCCGCGCGACCGAGGCTGCGGCCGCGGCTGCGGCCGTGGAGCACGCGGGGAGCAGCAGCGCCGCGGCCGCCGAGGCGCACGCGCTGAGGCTGGAGGTGCAGCTGGCAAGGCGCCGGGCGGAGGAGGCGGAGCGGAGCATGTCGCAGGAGAAAACAGCGGCACGAGCATCAACTTTTGGCGCTCCGCGCGGATTTCTCAGATCCGCGCTGGCCCCCCACCCCCCCCCCCGGCGGCGCCTCCAGCGCCGCCCCCGGGCGCGCTCCGCGCGCCGGGGAGGGGGGGCCCAGCGCGGATCCAAGGAATCCGCGCGGAGAGCGCCAAAAGTTAGTGTTCATGGCGTGCTTTCTTCTTCGAAGCATGGACGCGGGGCGTGAGGCCGCGAGGCTGCAGGCGACGGTGACGGAGGCTGCGAGCCGCAGCAGCGAGGTTGCCCATCAGCAGGCGAGCGGCGCGGAGCAAAAGATGGGTTCGGTGGCGCGGCGGCGTGGGCGCGTGAGCTGCTCGCGTGGGGTCGCGCGTGAGCGCCCGCGTGAGCGCCCGCGTAGCCGCTGTCGCGTGCCGCGCCGGCGGCCCGCGCAGGTCGCCGCGTAAGGTCGCTACGTCATCTCCCGTCCCACACCCCCTCGAGTCATGGAAGAAATCACGACGGGAGGTTTTTTCATTTTTTAGGCCCCTGGGGGCCCCTACGCGGCCTCGGGACCGTCAAAAGAACTACTCAGGACGAAACATCGGTCCTGGGGAATGAGTCCAAGCCTCTGGGGGTCGACGTCATGAAAAAAATCATGAAGTCGGGGGTCTGGGTATATGTAGCGTGCCGCGACGGCGGCCTGCGTAGGTCGCCGCGTAAGGTCGCTACTTCATCTTCCACATAAGGACCCGTTTTTGGGCATTGCTCAGGTGGCCGTGGCTCTGGCGGACGTGGGGGCGCGCGTGAGTGTCCCGTGCCGCGCTGGCGGCCCGCGTAGGTCGCCGCGTAAGGTCGCTAGGTCATCTCCCGCATAAGGATCCGTTTTTGGGCAGGGCTCAGGTGGCCGTGGCTCTGGCGGACGTGGGGGCGCGCGTGAGCGCCCTCGTATCCACTGTCCCGTGCCGCGCTGGCGGCCCGCGTAGGTCGCCGCGTAAGGTGGCTACGTCATCTCCCGTAGAAGGATCCGTTTTGGGGCGTGGCCCAGGTGGCCGTGGCTCTGGCGGACGTGGAGAGGCTGAAGCAGGAGCTGCAGGCTGCCGACGGGAGGGCGGCAGACGCGGCAGCCCAGGTGGATCGGTTGAAGCAGGAGCTCGAAGCTTCGAATCAGAGGGCGGCGTCTGCGGTGGCCCACGTGGAGCAGCTCAAGCGGGAGATGCTGGCCCTGGAGAGGCGCGCCGCGGCGGCGGACGTGCGCGCTTCGGAGGCCGCGTGCCACCTCACCGCCGTGAAGGCGGAGAAGGAGCGCCGCGTGGCGGAGGCCGAGGCCATCTGCGCGGCCGAAGCGGAGAGGCTCCACCGAGACATCCAGGCGGGCACGCTGCGTCTTCGGGGGGCCTCGGCCGTCCCCTGTGAGTGGGCACCTCTCGCCTCGGTCCCGTGCCCGGCGCGGGCTCGGCGCGGATTCGGCGCGGAGTTTTGGCGCGGCTTCGACGCGGGCCCGGCGCGGAGGCGACGCGGAGGCGGCGAGCCCGACGCGGGCCGTACGCGGACTGGGGCGCGATGGGGCAGGCAAGGCCCCCCGAAGACGCAGCGCACGAAGGTGGCCCAGAGCCATGCCGAGGAGGCTTCAGAAGCCGCGCACCTCGCCGCCGCCGCCGAGGCCTCGAAGAAGAAGAAGAAGCACAAAACCCACAAACATAAACTGTGGACGCTCCGCGCGGATTTTTCTTGGATCCTCGGCGCCTGGGCCCCCAAAAGCGACGCCCCCGGGCGCGCTCCGCGCGCCCAGGGAGGGGGGCCCAGCGCGGATCCAAGGAATCCGCGCGGAGAGCGCCAACAGTTTGGGCTTGCGTGGCCCGTTCTCTTCCTCCAGCAGAGGCGGAGGCGCAGAGCCAGGTCGCGGAGCTGAGGCAGCGCCTCGCGGCGGCGGAGCGCCGCGCGGCGGCCGCGGACGCCTGCTCGGAGGAGGCCGCCCGCCGAACAGCTGCCGCGGAGCTCCGCGCGACGGAGGCGGCGGTGGCCGAGTGCAACGCGGCCCAGTCCGGGTCGGCCATGGTCGAGCGGTTCTCGGGGCTCAAGAGACCCAGGCCCCTCGAGTCATGAAAAAATCGCGACGGGAGTTTTTTCCATTCTTTCGGCCTCTGGAGGCCCCTACTGGGCCTCGGGACCGTCAAACAACGACTCGGGATGAAAAACGGGTCCTGGGGAATGGGTCTAAGCCTCTGGGGGTCGACGTCATGAATAAAAACCATGACATCGGGAGTCTGGGGACGGGGGGGTCAGTGCGAGCGGGGGGGTCGGCGGCACCCCAACGCATATATACTGTCTGCGCGCCGCGGCCCCCCCCCCCCCCCCAAGGGCGATGCGCGCACCGAGAACTCTTCTAGTATGTGCGTCGTGGCGGGCGCTTTCCGGCCACTCCGCTCGGGAGACGATCTACTACAAGATGGGTATACTATATCCTCGGGTCGGACGCGCGCCTCCAAAGAGACCATATCGCAATAGCATGTCGGTGTGCGTCCCAGGGGTCAGTCAGAGCGCCGGATCTTGCACGATCCTGCAGGGCCAGGGGTGCACTAGCTGACCCCGGCTTGGGCGCAGGATCCTGCAAGATCTTGCGCGATCCGGCAAGGCCTGACTGGCCTGGGCCTCGCTTGACCTGGGCCAGCAGATCCCCGAGGTTCCGGCTGGAGATCCAGGCGGCCAAGCGCCAGGCCGCGGAAGCGGAGGCCAGCTCGGCGAGAGCGGGCGAGGCGGCGCGCTGGCAGGCCTCCCCGGCCCTGGAGGACGCGAGGCTGCCCGTGGCGCTCGAGGCGCTCGAGGCTGCCAGTGGCGCCCCTCCGCGCCGCCTGCCGCTGGCGGATGCTCTGGGCCCGGGGCAGCACGGCGAGGGCCCGGCGGCCCCGGGGGAGCTGCCGCCGCTGTCGCTGCCGGCCGGCCGCGGCGCCCTCGTCGTCGAGCCCGGGCCTTCGTCGGTCAGGCTCGTGCCGACCTCGTCGGCGCGGGCGCTGTCGGACGACCTGGCGGCCCAGCAGGCGGCCGAAGGATCGGGGGTGGCCAGACCTCCTACCCTGACACGTCGATTAAGGAATCGGCCGTTTTTGGTTCGCGAGAGGGCGTCGCGGCCGTCATTTTTGCGGGTCCAGGTCCGTCGGTTTCGGTCCCAAGCCGTTTTCACTAAGGGGAGGTCTACTAAAGGGAGCTTTGTCTACCGCCGAAAGGAGGGCCGGCGGACGCCGGCGCTCACGCGCAGCGAGAGGACCAGCTGGGCGCCCTCAGGCTGGAGTTAAGTCGGGCCTGTCCCTCTACAGGAGGAAGATTCCAAAGTAGTCCAATAATAGTCTGGGGACGATGTTTGGAGCACTCTTTGACTATGTTTGAATATTTTAGGATTTTTTTTATTTTTCGTCCAGTTCCGCCTGTAGGGGGACACGCCCGATCTAAGGCTGGAGCTGAAGCAGGTGTTCGCGGAGCTGAAGGGCGCCCGCAGCCAGCTGAACCACGAGCAGGACGAGGTCCGGCGACTCGGGCTCCAGTCCGACGCGCAGCGGCTCGCCTACTACGAGCTGCAGGTTCAGAAGGCGCAGCTCCGCTCCCGCTTCGAGTCTTTCTCCAAGAACTCGGACATGGAAAGCATGCGCATCGCCCTCGCCATGGCAGAGGCCAGCTCGCCCGGCTCGCGGCCCGGTTCGCGGCCCAGCTCGCGGCCGAGCACCGCCCGGGGAGCGCGGAGGTCGGCGGACAGGCCCAACTTCCCGACGACCACCACGTATCGGCCGAAGCACGCGCCCGATCGGGAGGCGTCGAAGGAGAAGAAACACAAGTAAACAAGCAGTGGAGGCCCATGCCAAGAGACACACTGCTTACCTCAAAGGTGCCCTGAGTTTCTTTGGTTTCGATGGTTTTGCTATGGAATGCGCGAAATACCCACACCAACAATTAATGGACGTCCTGGGGTCTCAGGGTTGGGTTTCTTGTGGAAGGTCTCTTGAGGACTGGCCTCCACCGTACACTTTCACAGCTCCTCGCGGGTGTGCCGGATCAGCGCTGGGGCCCCTTGGAGGCGCCCGCTTCGGCGCCGCCCTTGGCGAGCTCCGCGCGCCAGGGATGGGGGCCCCTCCAGCGCAGATCTGAGAAATCCTCGCGGAGCTCCTCCTCCTCCTCCTCCTCCTCCTCCTCCTCCTCCTCCTTCTCCTCCTCCTCCTCCTCCTCCTCCTCCTCCTCCTCCTCTTTGTTTACGCCCTTTTGTGGTTTCTCTGAGGCGGGCGTTGCAAGACCGTGGACCCCCCCCGTGATGCGGGGCCGCCCTCTCTGGAACTAGGGGCCTCGGCGAAGCCGCCGCGGGCGCCGTGAGCCGGCCGCGTGCTGCCCCGGCCCACGACAGCACAGGGCCGCGAGAGGCCCTGGATGTTATCCTTGAGAGTCCGATTGGGCTGACTGGTTCCTCTCCCCCTCTCCCCTCCCCTCCTTCCGACTCTTCCCGTCGATGGCCGATGGCGCTTTCCGATGCTGGTATTTCCGCGCCGGGCGGCACACTTGTGGCCCGACGGCCCATCGGCCATCGTGTCGGAGGCGCGTCTTTGGGTTTGGTCCGAAAGTTGACCGCCTCCCATGGGCGGATGCGTAGTGCTGCCTCCCTACGAGTGCGGCGGGCGGACGCGTCCGCCGCGTCTTCGAGCCCCGCGGCGAGGAACACGCATGCTGACTCTCCGCTTCTTCATGCACTTGGCATTCCGACCTTTGCGTCGTTCTCAGGGAGATGACGGCACGCATACCTGTGCACGCACGGTGAGCTCGTGGCCGGACAAGTGGAGAGACAGAGGGCGAGAGAGAGAGGAAGATAGGGAGCAAGTGTGGACTTCTTGATTGCATGGAAGTGGCCTGCCATCGCAGTGCATGCCTCTGCCAGCACAGCGTCTTCGCTCGAGATCAAGCAAGCGGTTACGCCGTGTTGATCTTGGCGTGAGGTCCAGCTCTGGGCCACGAGCAGGCATGTCTTCGGCCCCTCGGCGCGTGCGGGATAGCGGCATCTCTCTCGCGCGACCTTGCGACGGGGCCGCGCGGTCTCTGGTGCGCCAGAGACGTACACATTTCGGGCGGTGGCCGCTTACGTCTTGCGACTCTCAGCTCGAAGAACAGACCATATAGCCGATCAGATAGCATAGACATGCACGCTCGGATGCCTTCCGGCGCCGCTCCCAGACCCCCGGCGCCATGATTTTCCCATGACGACGACCCCCAGAGGTCTGGACCCATTCCACGGGACCGGTTTTTCATCTTGATCCGCGTTCTGACGGTCCCGAGGCCCTGAATGGGCCCCCAGAGACCAAATCGGAGCTTCAGAGACGGGGGTCAATGCAAACGGGGGTCAGCCAGGGCACCAGATCTTGCAGGATCCTGCGAAGACCCCCTCTGGCTGGCCCGGGCTAGCGAGCCGCTCGTAGCCGCGAGGTGGCCGCGCGAGTTTGGCTGGCACGGGCTGGCGAAGCCCTGCGTCGCAGCCTTCCTTTCTTGCAATGCAGCTTTTCGGTTGCCTGCTGACCCACCCGGGTCTGATTGACCCGGGTCAGCAGATCCCCGGCCGAACATCTGGACAAAAACCTCCCGTCGTGATTTTGTTCAGGGCTCGAGGGGGTCTGCAGGGACGACGAACGAGCAACACGCACCCAGGCCCATACCCACAGGGAGGTCGCTGGGAGGAGGACTGACTATATGGGTATGGGTGCGGGTTGTCGGACCCTGGGGAACGCTCCCGTAGCGGGGACCCCCCTCCGACAACACGCACCTATGGCCATCTCCGATCCCCCTGTGGGTCTGGGTGTGTGCTGTTGGTGCGTCAAGGGAGGCGCCCGACTGCTCGCGGGGGGGGCCCCTCGGCCAGAGAGGGAGGGCAGGAGCCGCAGCCGCAGCCACGACCGGGACCGCGACCGCGGCCGAGGCCCAGCGCCGCCGCGCGCCAGCGCCGCGCGCGGCCGCGCGGCCGCGGCCGCGACCCCCAGGGGCTCGCCTTCTCTGTGCGGTGTCCCCTGCGGTAGGTTCGCGTCGTGTCGACCGGCGGCGACCCCGCCGCCGACGTTCAACGTTGAACGCCGACGGCGGCCCAGAATCGGTCGATGTTGAACGATCGGACGTTGCGGAGACGGCCGATCGTTCAAGGTTGAACGATCCAGCGCGGTGTCAGGAACCAACGCCAGGGTCGACACGGCACGGACCTGCAGTACATGAGTGGGTGACGTACACCCAGAGATCCCAAGCGTTGAGCAACATCAAGACGGAGGTGTTTCGCAGCGTTCGGCCTCTATAGGGGCCCTCGCCGGGCCTCGGGACCGTCAGAGAACGGCTCAGGATGAAACACCGGTCCTGGGGAAGGGGTGGAGACTTCCAGGGGCCCCGGATCTCTGGGCAGTGGAGACCCATGCCAAGAAACACCCTGCTTGCCTCCAGGGTGCCCTGGGCTTCTTGGTTTCCGATGGTTTTGCGATGGAAAGGGTGGCGTCCTCGCACCAGAATCCCTGGACGTCCTGGGGTCTCAGGGTCGGGTTTCTTGTGGACGAGGCTTCTGGCGGTCGGGCCCCTACTGTACCACCTGCTGGCGCCGTCCCTCGGCAAGCCCAGCGGGTGGCCCGCGGCAGCGCGCTGCGCGCCCCACCCCACGACCCTCCTGGCCGGAGAGCTCGCACCCCACCGCATCCGGCAGCGCGGCGCCCCCCTTTTGGACGCTGATCCTCCTCCTCCTCCTCCTCCTCCTCCTCCTCCTCCTCCTCCTCCTCCTCCTCACGGCGCCGTGGACCGCCCGGCGAGCCGCCCGCTGGGGACGTCGAGGGAAGAGGCCGGCCGGCCAGCAGGTGCCCCGGGGAAGGCTCCAGCCCCCCCAGGGCCCCCCAGGGGGCCCTCAGAGGCCCTGGGTCGGCCACGCGCAGAGGGGGGGTGGGTGGAGGGGGAGGGCTTCTCAGGAGTAGCCCTGCCTCTCAGGAGGCGCGGGCCTTCTCGTTAGACGTGAGGCTGGTTCCTTCATGAGGAGCAGCCTCCTTCTCAGAGGCCTCCCCCCCTCCCCCTACCCCGTCTGTGCGCACCGCCAACTGGGGCCTCACGGGGAGCCACAAGCCCGACGACAAGTGTGCCCTTAGTCTTCCTCTGGCACCTTTTTCTTTGATCGTGTATGTCTGCTGTACCCTGGAGGTCCACGCGAGAGGCACGGCCCAGCTGTGTGTTTCATACAACTGACACGATTGTTGGGCCCTTGCGTCATGAGGGTTTGGTCGTTTGGAGTAGTATTCGCATTGGAGTAGTATTCATATAGCGTATCTCCATGGGGCCTTGGGCATGCGGCGGATGGGCTCATGTTCTTGACCCAGGTTCTGGTGGGCATGTTTCTACTGCGTGCGCTCCAACTACTCAGTCCTGCTCGCAGTCCAGGGCGTCGTAAAATTTTGTGTTTTCTCGTATTCCTGCCCCATGGCCCAGACAGATCGTCCCGGCCCAAGAATCGCGGCGGAAAGATGGTGTCGGGGGCTCCGGTCCTGATTTCTCTCGGTGGCGTTTTTTTAACGACGTCGGATCTCGTGGTGTGAGACGGCGGAGGCTTAGGATCAGATGCAGTTCTCAATGTGCTCGAAACTTCCAAACCTCTTGGGTCGGACGAACGGAGACACTTCCAAACCTCTCGGGTCCCACGAACGGAGATTAGGAAAATTGGTGGGTACGACACTTCATGATGCTGCCTCTTCCTCCTCCTCCTCCTCCTCCTCCTCCCCCTCCTCCTCCTCCTCCTCCTCCTCCTCCTCCATACGTGGCCGTCCCCAGCACTGGGCGGCGCAAGAAACCAGCTGCGTGCAGTTCATTCGCGGACCCCCGTTGGCAATACTTTCCCCCCGGAACCCGAACCTCCGACGTCATGATTTGGGCAATCCCGCGGCTTCTTCCCAAGGGACTCCTAGGTTCATTTTCGGGCCCCAGGGCCAAACAGAAAAGTCGGGCATGTCCCTCTACGGGAGGCCTATTCAGAAACAGTCAAAAGATAGTCTGGGGCCGATCTTTGACTATTAGTTTCGGATATGTTTCGAGTATTGCTTCTTTTTCGTCCAGAATCCGCCTACAGGAGGACATGCCCGACCGAACAATACAAGAAACGATCAGGGACCGAACACCCCCCCGGGGCGGGGGTGGCGAGACCTCTGAGGTCCATGTGCTGGAACAACTGGAATAACAGATCCGCTCCGATCTGTCGGCTCGGTGCTGGCCGCTCCCAAAGGAAGGTACCCTACCTCGGAAAGTCGCTCGTCCTCATCATGCGGGTTGACTGTCAGCAGCACCCACTGTCGATGCCGCCCCATGCGGCGCGCATCTCGACCCGGCCACAGCAGCGGAGGCCGCCAGGTCCGGGACCGCGCCTCGCGTCGTACGACGCAGGGAGCCAAAAGTCGGAGGGCACCAACTATACACCTACACCGATCCTG